CTTCTTTTTTTTTTCTTTTTTTTTTTTTTCTTATTTTATCATTTGTTTTTAAGCCTTATCTGCATAGCTTATAATTTTTTTGATATTATCTTCTCTTTTTTTTTAGAAAAAAAAAATATATTTTTCTTCTAGATCTTTATCTTGTTTTTGTTTTGAGATAGCTAAAAAAAAAACAGAAGAAGAAGAAGATTTTTGTTGCATAATTTTCTAGTCATGTCTGTAGTTCGTGATGGCTTGGATACTTAGTCTACTGCCCATACTAAACCCAAAGAGCTAAGCAACATTATCAATCTTTTAACGGCACCAACCCCCATTACATTTACTGATGATTACATACCTCCGGGGTTCGATTGTTTTCACGCCCTGTCACTTTATATCACTGTTTTTAAGAGCGGTTATGAAATCAAGAAAGTGATGGTTGACAATGGGGCATCTCTGAACATCTGTCCCTTGAAAACTATTCTAAGAGTAGGGTTATCACGAACAGACCTTGAGGTCTCAAACATCTCAATTGCAGCCTATGATGGGGCTCAAAAAAAAACCTTAGGGATCATCCCTCTCACTCTTAAGATTGGGCCGGTGGTCCAAATAGTGAGGTTTTATGTCCTTGACATCGAACCTTCTTTCAATCTACTCATTGGCAAGCCATGGCTCCATGAAAATCTTGTTGTAGCATCCACTTTGCACAAATGCCTGAAGTTCCCAGCTGTTAGAGGAGTGGCTCACATACGTTTAGATGCGGTCAAAGCAGAAAAAGAGAAACTCTCTAAAAATTTGAAAATCCAGGAGATCCTACTTCTAACATGTAAGGAAAATTGTGCTATGATCCATGAAACGCATGAAGTGTCTGAGAAATTGAAAAATTGTTATAGTCATTATGATTTCGGTTCATGCACAGCATGAAATATGTTATTGGCTCAGGGGCACTACCCCGGCTCTGGCCTTGGAAAAAATGGGCAAGGTGTTGCTAAGGTAATTACTTATTCCCCTCATGTTAAAGTAGACATCGACGATCGAAGAGGGTTGGGTTGCACACTTTCTAAGCTTCAATGCAAACTCAAATCTTTTCAGCATCTATATTTTATTCTTGGAGGAATTTAAGGTCTTTACCATCGAAAGATCGAATCTCTTCCAAAACTGGAGATCATAATTGAAATTATTCTAGAAGAAGAGCTGTTAGAATGACAACTTTTCCGTCTTACACTTGGAGCCCATATGGTGGCTACCACGTCCTCGGCTTCCAAGCAACTTAGGGCAATTACTGAAAATTAGAGTATTACTCTCTTATCTATTGAATCTAGCAAGGGGATACAACAACACTTTCAAGTCCCTGTACCAAAAAACATACATCCTGTGTGAAGCCTTTCTAATACTATTACCTTTCCGATTGTAGAAAATGCAGTCAAGACCCTTGACAAACCCAGTGAAAACCTAAACAAAGTCAATGAAGAAAATGAAAATGAAACAAATGAG